AGAGGGAGAAGCAGGCTTCCTGCTGAGCAAGGAGCCCGATGCAGGGCTCGATCCCAGGACCCTGGGATTATGACCTGAGCCGAAGGCAGACGCTTAACGACTGAGCTACCCAGGTGCCCCTTGGTTTGTGTCTTTTTAAAATAACTCTGCCTGCCACTTGTTGAACTGTTTAGACTTAAAAATTTGTCTTTTCTTAGTTCAAGGAAGTTTTATCGCTTTCCTTCCATCTGTTTCCAACCTCCTTACTTTACAGATGAAGAAACCAAGTCCAGAAAGGTTAAGTGACTTGTTCAAGGTCACTCAGCTAGTTAATAGTGAACCTCAAACAAATAACTTGATTTCTTTCTTTTTTTTTTTTAAAGATTTATTTATTTATTTGAGAGAGCGAGAATGAGAGAGAGTACATGAGAGGGGGAGGGTCAGAGGGAGAAGCAGGCTCCCCGCCGAGCAGGGAGCCCGATGCGGGACTCGATCCCGGGACTCCAGGACCATGACCTGAGCTGAAGGCAGTCGCTTAACCAACTGAGCCACCCAGGCGCCCAAATAACTTGATTTCTTTGATGAACTAGACTTTCATTGTATTGACTATTGCTCTGTTGAGAGAGCCATCATGAAAAACGTGGAAATTTTTTAGTGAGGCAGGGATTTTGCTGAGGGTTCGTGAGGAGATGAAGGAGGAGGAAGAGATGATAAAGTTCATTACGATTAAAATATGGCCCATTTGGGGTGCCTGGGTGGCTCAGTCAGTTGGGTGTCTGACTCTTGGTTTTTGCTCGGGTTGTGATCTCAGGGTCATGGGATTGAGCCCTGCATTACAGAGTCTTCTTGGGATTCTCTCCCTGTCTTTCTCCCTCCCTATCTGCCCCTCCCTCCCTCTAGGATAAATAAATAAAATCTTTAAAAAAATGTGGCCAATTTGAAGGACTATAAAATTCACAAGGTATCTCAGTTACTAGAGTTACCCCAGAGCTCTAAAACTTAATAAAGCTAGGAAGTTGAGTGAATACTTGGAGAATTAGGTATCTAATTGTCAGGAGTTGGATAAGCATGGTCATGCCCTGTTGTAAATATTGGAAAACATGTAAGTATCTGAAAGCTTGGAGACAGGCATCATAAACTGTCTTATCAGTGGTCTGGTTTCTGTTTTGAATTACAGCCTGGGACCCTTTTCTACTGGGAACCACCTGTTCCTGGCTTTGTTGATCTTTGGATTTCCCCAGCTCTCAGTCCCTTTCAGTTTTGAAATGAAACCTACCCCGGAGGGTGAGGTCAGGTACTGAGAGGACTTTGACAGCTCACACCAGGTTTTTTTCTAGAGTCTGGTATGTGACTGTGTGAAGTGTAAGGCTCAGCAGGCTGTGATATAGACTGATTGATGGTGAATCAGCTGTTGGGTAAGGCTCAGGTAGTGCTATTTCTTTGGGTAACCAGGAAAACACGTAGACCAAATATGTTGTCTTTCATCCTTAGACAGTTGAAAGTTAAGAGTACAGTCATCAGAGATCTGCCATGATCTTGCTGCCTTTGGTTTACTGAAGGAGGAAAGGCATTATTTCAGTGTCTTTTCTCCTTGTTTTTAGAGCCTCCTTTCTTTTCAGGAAGGAGCCAAGTCCTTGGCTTCTTTCTGCTGCTCCAGCTTCTAAACGTTTATACTGTGCCTCCTGGAATTGCTGCTTTGATGTGAAGTGACTCCTCTAGATACCCCTAGACACACATACCCTCATGTCCTGACCCCAACCCCTTCACAGAATTTGGCTTCCCTCTTCCCTTTGTTGTGAAACTGGTTTCCATGATACTCTAGCGCTTTGCTTGGAATCTTTATAAGCAGTACTGGCTCTTTCTTTAACTCACCCCATACCACTTCCCCCTGATTTTGCCTGACTGTCCCCCAGCCACATCCCTCAGTACTACAAAGCTGCTTGTAGACCTTCAAATACTTTTTTTCTATTGAGATTTTTACTGGCCAGCAAGGCCACCTGATTCCTGTCCTTAAGGTTGGCATCTATACTCATTCTCCCATGGTGGTGGTGGTGGTTGTTTTTTTAAGATTTTATTTTTTTAGGTAATCTTTGCATCAATATTGGGCTCAAACTCCCAACCCCAAGATCAAGAGACGCATGTTCTACTGACTGAGCCAGCCGGGTGCCCCATGTTTGTTTAAGACTTTGGTGTCTGACCTCTCCTCCTGGGACTCTGGCCCAGGCTAGGGAATTGGTGGTCAGGCTTGGCCTGGGTCTAGTGATTCAGGGTATACCATGGAATTAGGGAGCTTCGTGTTAATATCTTAGATGTGGGGAGATGGGAAGCCTTAAGATCTGAACACCAAGGCCATTGGGAGTGGAAGGGACAGAGAAAATTTAGCATCTGAAACAATGGATATCCTTTGTAGGCTCTCTCTTCTCCCATTTGTAGGCTCCCATTTAAAAAAAAAAAAAATTAAGAGGTTTTTTTAGAACAGTTTTAGGTTCACAGCTAAATTGAAGGGAAGATACAAAGATTCCCGTTATTATTGTACTTGAGTAAGCTCTGTGCCCAAGGTGGGGCTCAAACTCACGACCCTGAGGTCAAGAATCACATGCTCTACCTACCAACTGAGCCAGTCAGGCGCCCTGAGATTCCCATTATTTTTTGAAAAGTTGATCTTTAGCTTTATAGGGAATGTAGTAACAATCTAAAAAAAAATTAAAATCTGTAGATTATTTTGAATTCTCCTGCTCCCCCCACACCCATTTCAGTTATTTTTGTATTCCTCAGAGGTGGTAACCTGTTAGTGTTTGGAATTTGTACATACCAGACTTTTTTTTTCTGTGTTTACATACATATGTATGAACCCAGAAAAGTGTTATTTTTGTGTCTTATTTATACAAATGGGGTCACATTTTATGGATCATTTTGGTATTTCTTTGATTCAGTAAGGTGCCTTGACAATATTTCATATTGGTACATAAAGATACTTCTCATTGATTTTGGCTACTGTATAATATTTTCTAGTATAGATATGCTGTATTTAGTTATTTTCCTATTGAGAGACATTAAGGCATTTCCATTTTTTTGTTGTTATAAAGGATTCTTGTTGTGTTTTAAGTGTCAGCGTTCTCTTCCTAGGCCTTTTCTTTTCTCATACTCTTCCTGGGTGATCTCAACCCTTCTGACAGCTCCACTTAACCATCTACATATGGATGATGCCCAAATCTTTCTCCAGACCAGTGTCCAGCTTGCTCATGTGGACAGCATCACGGGGATGTTTTGCATACTCGCCATCATGCAGCCTCCTGCTTTTCCCACTTGCCTCATCCAGTGTCCTGTCACATGGTAAATAGCACGCAGTTATTAGGCCCAAAGGCTAGTAGTTATTGACAGACTTCCCTTTCCTTCCACAGTCAACAACCAGCCTGTCACTGGGACTTTTCCTCCGTAGTGTTTCTTGGATCCAGTTGCTTTCTTTCCTTCTTCATTGCCACTACCTTGTACCTTAGTTTTATGACTTATAAAATAGAATACTTGTGAGTACTAAATAAATTAATAACATGTAAAATGTTTAGAAAAATAGATCAGCACCCAGTAAGTGCTATGTGAATGTTGGTTGTTGTCATCATCATCATCATCATTGTTGTTGTTGGGTTCTTCTCATCTTAGTGTACATAATACATTTTCATCTCTACCTCCAGTCTTGATTTTATCCTTCCCCACCTTCATTTCACTCTGCACATTGCAGTCAGAGTGATCTTTATAATATATATGAATGATCATGGTCTAACTTTCCTGCTTAAGAAACTTCAGTGATCTTGCCATTGGACTTTTACATGAATTGTCACCCCCACCTAGAAGGCTTTTTCCCTTGATCTTTTAATTACTGTTTTTTTGGGGTTTGTTGTTGTTTTGTTTTGAGATGTATGTTTTTATTTATTTTTATTTTTTCTAAAGGTGTTATTTATTTGACAGAGAGAGAACACAAGCAGGGGGAGCAGCAGCGGGAGAGGGAGAAGCAGGCTCCCCACTGAGCAGTGAGCTCGATGCAGCTTGATCCCAGGACCCTGGGATCATGACTTGAGCCAAAGGCAGACACTTAACCGACTGAACCATCCAGACGCCCTGAGATCTCTGTTTTTAAATGTCATGTCCTCAGAGAGGCCCTCCCTT